AGCTGCAAATGAAGATGTATTCTGGTGCACTCTCTGAATACACCTTTCATTCCTAGCTCAAGTGCATAATTGTCTGCATCAGTCTTAATTTACTCTCTGAGGCTTGTGCTATTAAGTGCATGTATATCATCTGCTAGGACGTACCAATTAAATCTACTCATATACACACAAAAAATCCAATCAGAAAAGTAACTCCAAACATCTCAATTTAGCAGATTAGAATGATCGGTGAAGGATTCTTAGCTGTCTAAAATAGAAAACATACTGTGTTACAGAAGTATAAACTATATTAAACACTCAGCTTGGTTCCTGAATATATTTAAAAACCCATATTGTGTTCATTACTGTGCTTCTGTTGTGGAATTTCTTTCTTGGGTATTGAAATTAATGGAATATGAGCTTGCTATCTGAATTCACTCCTATATTAAGAATGATTTCATTGTATGATGTATGGCTGCTTCACTACTCTTGCAGACTGAGGCTGCTCCTGGATCAGTGATTGTTGACAACATGAAAAATAAAGAGATTTCTCGGTTAGGTTGCCAAGAATTTCAAGCAGCATGTTACGTGATACAGGATCATTTGGGGTTTTTTAATTGCTCGGTTATCCTAATAAGGCTTTACCTAGGGTTGGTATGGAATTTTCACACCCTATATACTGCATTATATAGTTGATTACTGAAATGCTTAAACCATCAGACATTTGTCATTGCTGGGGCAAGGATACTGAACTGTATGACCCATCTGAACTACTCTGGCAAACATTATGTTTCTGTCCTTTCCTTACAGCTAAAACAAGTGACTGCAAAACTTGATTCTTTATTCTTAAAGTATCATGGACTATAGCAGGGGTGGGAAACCTTTTTTGGGTCAGGGGCCATGGACCTACAGAAAAATCAGTCCAGGGCCACGCACAAAAATCTCTCTCTGACTGAGAAGGAGCAAGACCCTTCCCACATTCCTGTCACTCACCAGAGTCCCGTCTAGTATATTTTGTGTGCTCCAGCCCCAGGATGTGGGGCAGTGGGAGGGCTGGAGTACCAACATAGGCTCCCCAGTGTGTGTGGGGGGGAACCCTGAGCCTCGAGGGCCAGATACAGGCAAGCTGGGGGCCGCATCCAGAATTATGTTCACAGAGTTTCTTAATACATATGGTAACCTAATACCAAGTTTTGATAATATTGGAGGTAGTCACAAATTGCAGCCATTTCAGATCAGCTTGTTACTAATGAAAGCTACAATGACCTGTGTAGGAGGTGTGGCACCAAATTATTTTAATACTAATTGTTTCTTGTAATGTAACACTTCAGTAAAGTAGCAGATACAAACTTTGCAAAAGAGAAACATTCCCAAAGAAAAATAAACTTCACAATACACCAACTTGACTGTGGGGACGCAATTATTTGGAACCTGCAGCTTTCAGTGATTTCTGTTGGATGTAGTCCTTATGGCTGCTGCATGATCACTTTCCCTGATATGCAGGAGAGGGTACTATATTTCTTCTTAGGGGAGAAGAAACTTTCATTACTACTTAGTGGTGATTCATATTGAAACGATAAAATTGAGATTGGGTCTTTCCTTATACAGATTACTGCCCAGTTTGCCACAAGTGCGTTATGTTGTCTCAGTACTGACTGCAGGGGCACAAATAGAAGGGAAATGCATCTCAGTGACATTAAAATCAATTTATCATGTAGTTGGCAATTTATGTTTTAGTATGTTTCTGATAGTGCTTCCTTCTGTGTTTGACTTTTCTTAGTGATATTTTTCTCAGCAGACTAATTTAATCAACAAATTCTGACCCATGTCTCCATCATAAGAGGTCCCTTCCAACTCCACATTCTGTGATTTGTCAGCATTTATCAATTTTTGCCATCAATTAACCGTTATTTTGGGATAATTGCATAAACTGACTGGTAGGAACAAAAAACCTTCAAACCTACTCAGTGTGTGTAAATGAAATACAGCATTTTCTCAACTTTTTTATACAGGGTGGGGTAAAGTACATGTGTTTGTGGCTGTAGAAAATACCTCAACGAGCCAGAATGCATCTCTCAGATGTGTATGACTGTCTTAATGGTGTGCAAGAAAAGAATGTTTATTTTTGAAGTAACTTCTGTGTCTTGCTTTTTAAACTAATCACAGGAAAACACTATTTCCTGGACTGTGGCTACGAGACAATTTAGGAACTTGCTTATACATATTTGAAACCCACTTAATTTTGGATAGGAAACTGTTTTTAATGTGAAGACCTCAGCTATCCCTTCCCCCACCTCCTCTCACTCATTTTTCTGCATCTTCCTTTCTCCTCTTCATCAGTTTTGTTCTGACAGGCTTATAGCACCTATACAATGGAGCCAAATGCTTAATTAATGGAAATGTCTTCAGTGCAACTGACCAGCATCGTGATCTGGTTAGTTTCACAATTCGGCCATTTCCTCGGGTAATTAATTGATGAATAGATAGCAGTAGTCAACTTTGATGTTGCTCTGCAGAGTCAAAGTTGCAGGTATATTGCTGAGATCCCAAACATAGGCTGCAAGTGATTTGTGGGGAGACGACAGTTTTCAAGTTGGAAAACTACCACTAAGGAATGTCTTAGTCCTTTAATTCAGACTGTTTAAAGTTAATTTTAGTGTAGTGATTGTCTGGTTTCACCCACATAGTTGCTATTAGGACTCTTGAATTAACTCTTGCAGAAAAATAAGACAAAAACACCATATTGCTTGTGGGTGAGCACTTCCCACAAAGTGATCAGTCTGTAGATGACTTAAGTCCTTATCCTCAAAGGACAGGAGAAGCTCTCATGTTGGCGTAGTAGTGTCTTCACTAAAGTGCTACAGTGGTGTGGCTAAACAGCTGCACATGTTAACAAATCCCTAAGTTTCCCGGACCTGAAAAAGAATTCTAGAAATCTGAAAGTTTGTGTGTTTCCAAAAGTTGATCCCTAAGTTTCCCAGACCTGAAAAAGAATTCTAGAAATTTGAAAGTTTGTGTGTTTCCAAAAGTTGATCCAATAAAAGATACTACCTTACCCACTATTTCACATGTAAACACTTGAGATGCAATACACTTTGTATCTAATCCCTCATAATACTGTATAAGAAGATGTTTAAGAGAAAATTAAGTAATATAGCAAAGGAAGAAAGGATGACTTTCAGAAAATGTATGTAAGTATCCTTCAGATATCAATATCTCTGTAATCTTTCACCCTGTTGTGATGAAATTGAAAATAAACCCTATTAATCCATTATCTCGCAGTAATTTTTTTCTGCTGTTACAGCTGTCTTGCCAATAGAGGGAGCTGGAGCTAACTAAAAATTCACGTGTGTTAACATTCCCACTGGAGCTCAAATGTTAGTAGGAGAAATTGCCCTATTTGTTCAGCTGTAATGTGTATGCATCATATAAAGCAGAGCCGTAAAGATCTATTGGATCCCATCTTGTCCATCCTCTAGGATTCCATTGTAGAATTGTTCTAGAGAGTATATTAGCCAGTGCTTTCTCTAATCTAGATTCAAGAGCTGCAGCATCCAGCGCTTCACTGGGAAGATTGTTCCACAGCATAGCAGATCTTACTGTTAAGAAGCTTATCCTAGTATCCAGACTAAATTTTCCTTAGCTTGTTTTCATTCTTTTGCTACTATTTGCAACTATTTTGGACTCTCCTCCTAAACAAATCGTCTCTCTCCTTGTTCACTTACACGCCTCAAATGGAGACTGCTTATTATACCCACCATCTCCCCTGAAGTCCTCATTTAGCCTTACATATTTGGTTATTTAAATTCATCCCTTCACCTCATGATGGTTTTTGCAGTGAGGTATTAGTCTCCTGTGTGATATGTACTTAAGAGTCAGTAATTTGCATGTTTCAGAGGGAAAAACTACAGTTTCATTGGGGATGGAAGTCGCAGAATTTCAGCAGGCACAGGCTTTCCTGCTAACCAGTTTTTTTTAAAGGCTATAAGGAATACTCATCTCATTATCTGGTTCTTACTGTATGTGGTAACCTTTTATTAACTGAAATATTGATGACTCTTCTTATGCCATGCCTCCAGAGCAGCAGCATGATAGCACATTTTCCATCTGTCCCATAGCTATATAACCTTATGTGAAAATTCTCTGAGTGCGCAAGCTTAGCTGGAGTGGGAGACATCTGAGGACAACCTACATGCTGTGTGAAGTGGTGTTAGTCATGCAGTGCTCTTCCTACTCAATCAATACTGAATCAGTTTCTCCCGGCCTGGGGACTGGGGAATACTGTGCTTATTGGAAGTACATATTTTGTATAAGAGAAAAGTCCAGGATGCTAACTACTTTAGCTATTAAATATATTTTCTCTTTTCGTAAGAGAAGTGACAACTCCAGTGACTTCTCCAAGTTCTAGCTTGGGAAATTATACTGCATACCTGAAATCTCTCTCTGATTTCAAAACTATGATCCTTTTCTGCCTTAAACTGAAAGCGTTGAACAGCTAAAGGGTGGGTTTGTCCCCCAAAGATAGCTGTGTTCCATTGATTCCTGTGAATAGCATGTAAGGTGACATGGGCTTTTTCCTGGATAAAGGGAGCTATTTAAGCTCCTAAATTGTTTGGGCTCTTCAGAAAATGTCCCCCCTTAGATCTATAGATACAATGAAATCAAAGTTCATAGAAAAATGTAGTTAAACACTGCAGTAACACTGAAGACCATATTGAAATGCATCTACGCAAGGAGACAATTAAGATGTGCACATGCAAATTTTGGTATTTCCCAACATTTGTGTGATTAACCATGTAATCTGGATGGTTTACTATTTACGAGATTTTACGATGTAGCTTTTGTATAGTATTTTTTCTCACAGACTATACTGTGGGGGGAGGAGGGAAGAGGCAGAAACACTTAACTTTTTCCATTTCCTATTTTATCTTGAGTTTTTCACTTGCAGCATAGATCAGTTTAATTTCATATTGTATGTTGTAACCACAGTAGTTGAATGGTGAATCTTAATGTCATGACAGGAGATGGCATAAACAACGGTTGAAAGACAAAGAGCGGCGTCGGATGGCAGAAGAGGATTCTGATGAAAGTGATGCTGAATTTGATGAGGGTTTCAGAGTACCAGGATTTCTCTTCAGAAAGCTTTTTAAGTAGGTATCATAAACTATTAAAAAACTGTACAGACTGTTTATGCAAATAAATAGTTATTAGCTGTCATTTCCAAGTATACTATCCTGTATTCAGATGCGTAATCCCTGTGGTTCCTGTTAAAAAATAGATGGATAATAAATGATTAAGTGACTTTTGGGAGTATCTATATATCAGTTTATCTACTGGCAGAAGAAAGATTTAAGAACTGCTTTTCATTGTAAAGAACACTTTCTGTTCTTGATAATGCAGAATTTTAACTGGGGTATGGAGTGGAAGGATTGTTTTTTTAACTGAGAAGATTAGCATACTGTGATTGTAGGTGCTTCAGTTGTGATACATAAAAATTAGGAAAATATGCTTTTGTGTGGTGGAAAAAGCGAGAGTTAGATTCTTGGCAAAAACTGTGGGCAAGACTGATTGCATAAAAATTAGGAAAATGTGCTTTTGTGTGGTGGAAAAGCGAGAGTTAGATTATTGGCAAAAACTGTGGGCAAGACTGATTTTGAGAACTATTTTATAATCCGTATTATATTTAAGCCTTGCTATTTAAACTAGGGATTAAATACCCATTTTTAAAATTACCTGGTTAAATAATATGTTTAACCAATTAACGTGGAGGGCTGGTTAAACATTATTTTAGCCCACAGTAAGGGCTTCTCCTGGCATAAAAGTAAAGTGCAGAATGTGCAGTTGCATAATTCCTGCACAGTGAATTAATGCCGGTTACTAGTTTGAGGATTTGTAAGGACAGATGGCAGAAATGCCCATTAATCGAACTTTCTGGTATCTAAAAGTGCTGGATAATGCCACTTTTACTGTAATTAGCTCTGTAGGTGACTATGGTTTGTAATAAGTGTTTCCTGGTATTCATTTAATCAGGAACATGTAGTTTTATAACCTCAAAGAAATTACTACCTTTGACCCAGTTCTTCAGAATTAAAATGCCAGTTCTGAAAGAGAAATTGAACAAATATTTGGTTGACAAGACCCTGATCAACATCTCTAATTGTTTATACAAAGGTAATGCAGAAATCTTCCTATAACAGATTCAACTGAGACAGACAACAAAAAATTAATCATAGCGTATAAGCCTCCCTAATGAAGGGTATCCCTGCAAGCATGAGTCAGTGAGCAAAACTTCCTAAGTGGTTAAAAAGATCAATTCAATTGAATGATTTGTCTGACTTGTAAGTTAAATGTACAAGTCTCCAATGTATGAAGGCTTTCAGTCAATACACATTAAACTTTGAGTTCTAACCAAATTTGAGTACAAAGATGGCTAAATATTGACCTAAGGAAGCTTACAGCAGTAAATTCTACATGGTGCTTTCTGTCACCATTTAATCGAATACAAAACACATTTGCTCTCATTGCTAGAAACATCAGCTCTTTTACCTTCTTCAGTAAACCGTATAAACAATATGTTTCCTCCCATCTATTCCTGTCTGCTCTCAAGAAAGTGGAGTTAGATGAACTGTGTTCCTGCTGCCTCATACAATGATGAAACCAGGTTTTAGAAATGCTGGTAGAAGAATGATCTCAAGTTACAGTGGGGGAGGTCTAGGTTGATATTAAGAAAAATGGTTTCCCTAGGAGGGTGGGGAAGCACTGGGCTGGGTTCACTAGGGAGGGGGTAGAATCTCCATCCCTAGTGGTTTTTAAGTCTCAGCTTGACAAGGCCCTGGCTGGGGTGATTGAGTTGGGATTGGTCCTGCCTTGGGCAGGGGGCTGGACTCGATGACCTCCTGAGGCCTCTGCCAGCCCTAGGATTCTATGAGTCTAAGAGTAAAACACAAAGTGGGAAGCAGGGTTAGTTTTAATGAAGGCTAAGATTTTTGGCATGGATATTTTCATTAAAAGTCACAGACAGGATACGGGCAATACATGAAATTATGGAAATGTACACAAGGCCAGCATTAGGGAATAGCAAGAAAGGCAATTGCCTGTGGCCCTATGCCACAGGGGATCCTGTGAAGCTATACGTCGGGTCGTGCAGCTCTGGCTGAAGCCCTGTGCTTCAGACTTTGGCTGAAACTCGAGCCCTGCATCTGAGGCTGACCTAGAACTTTGAGGAATTTGTGGCATTTTTGTAAAATCACAGAATCCATGATTGACTCTTAGCTTTCATTGTAAGTTGTGTGATGCAGCGTTCTGGCCCTTTGTGGCCCCCTCTGGGAGGCCTTATGGTCCTTCCATACCCTGCCCCTGAAAAGGAGACATAAAGGTGGATCCTCAAGGTCATGCCTAAAAAGGCTGCAAGGAAGCAGCCAATCGGAGCGCAGCAGGCTCAGTTAAAAGGAGCAGCTGGGCCTGCTTCCTGAACAGATCAGATCTTCCTGGGACCAGAAGTTAGAGAAAGTCCTGGGAAATGGAGAGAGTCTTGTGGGGAGGACCTGCCCAAGTAGGGATAGGCTGTAAAAACTCTCCAGGCAAGCAAGGCTTGGAGAGACCTTGTGCAAATAGGGAACAAGACAAATAGAACCTAAGGGGTGTCACATAAGGCACCGGCTGAAAGTGACCGAACTGGGTGGGATGCAGCAGCAAGCAAGTAAATGAAAGCAGTATGTGGCAGCTGTCTATAAGATCCCTCAGGAGGGACCCAGAGTAATGGGGGCCTGGGTCCCTCCACTAGCCACTGTGGAAGTAGCCTAAACCCCAAGAAGGAGTTAAGCCTCTGGACTAAAAGCCTGAGAAAAGGGCTCAGATTTAAATAGGCCTAGAGATGGGGCTAAAGATCTGAGAGGGACACTGATTCATTGAACTTTGTTATCCTGGAAGCCAGTAACCTGACTGGAGAGCTCGGACACCAGAGAACTGCTAACGGCAAAGGGTCTGCGGGGAGAAAGCCCTTGGGACACTGCTCCATAGCAGGACAGGGACTGACTTAAAGCTAGCCCAGAAGGGACTGAGAACTGAGCCCACAGATACGAATAAGGATACAGTGATCGTCCTTCCCGAAGGATTCATTTTAGGTTATGTGCAGCTTAGCTGGAGGGCTGAGCCACTGAAAACCCTTCTGACGAGGGCAGCAGCGAACAGGGAGCACTGTGAGAGTGAATGAGTGTGCAGGTTCATGAGAAGTAAGTGCGCCATAACTGTACATTTACTCTGTTGTCTATGCGTCTACCTGAAAGAAGTCCTGTCTATACTAGGAGAAGTATTATATTGTGATACCCAGTTGCAGCACAGTTCCCTCCGAATGCTATTAGAGCATACCTCTGTCCCACCACTAAACATAAAAGTAAAATGTATAACTGAATCCATTCTGTAGCTGTGAAATTTCATGGCTTTGAATTGTATTTTAGCCACATAAAGCAATCATGCTGGAAAGACCACAAAGTATTTTAACTGGGTTCCCAACATGTTTTCATAGTGAAGGCCAGAACGTAGCGAAATAGTGCATTGAAAGGTGTCAGGATATGCAGAATTAGAATTAGTTTAGGATGAGAGTATCTCACTAGTAATAATATTACTAGTGAAAAAACGAGCATTTGGAAATATTTTTAACATTTGTGTGGTCATAATCTTGAATGCAGACAGAGTCAATATAAAAAACCACCATAATGTGCATGAAACTGACAAACTAAGGTGGAAAATTTCAGTGGGTACACATTTACAAAAAAACCATGATTTTTACATCCCTAATTCACTCTACAAATGTTATGTTTAGGGGAATCCATGTTGTAGTGCTATGTTGTGATCCCTCAAGTGATTACATTTGTGGTGTTAGATAGTTCTTTGATTTTCTCCCATCTTCTCAAATCTTTATTTTTTTTTTCATTCTTATCTCATTTTGCTTTCCATCTAAATACCTAAGGAAAGAACCCCATCCTAAGTTTGTGCAATGATCAATAAAACCATAGCAGTCATTTATAGGGAGTTTGTATACATCAGAGTTCCTAAACATTCTGCATTCAAAGAAGTAAAACAGAATTACAAAAGAAAGCCAAGAGTGCACTCTGTGAACTTTCCCCATTCTATTAGTATCTACATTTCTGTACTCAGCCTCTGCTCTACTCAACATGCATGTTACATGGGGGAGAATCAATAATGTTTGTCCTCCCTAATATTACTAGTATAGAAATGCTTCAAGCACCTTTTTCCTTTTAAATTACAGATGTTTTTAAGTTTATCTCACTTCATTTTTTATTCTCGTCTTCAGTTTAAACAGTATCTGTTGGAACCTCTCTAGTCTGGCACACTCTGGTTTGGCAACATCTGTGGTCTGGCATGATTTTAGTTAGCCAGGTGTCCACTTATGGGTGTGGCCAAGTTTCCCATGGTGCCATAAATTTTGTTTACAGCCACCAGTCTTGGCTCTCAGTGTTCTGTACTATTATTCCACTCTAATGTACCCCTACCTGTCTTCTAAGAGCTTGGAAAGCAGTGGAAATGTTAGTAATGCTGCTAGATGATATTGACCTCTCATGTTTTGACACATTCTCTGGTTTGGCACTGGTCAGACCCCAAGGGTGCCGGATTAGAGAGGTTCAATCTGTAATTCCTGTTTGCACTATGACATATCGTTATAAAAAGTATGGCCTAAAATCAGTCTCTGTCTAGCCTCCCAACTCTGACTTTTCATTTTACATTGTCTTTCGTTAATCTTTATTTAAATTAGATTGTATTCTACATCACTGTTCATTCTTTCCAAGTTTCGCTTTGAATTGTAACTGCAATGGTATCCTCTTCTAGTAACACACTGCTACATCCCACCCTCAGACAGATCTTGGTTCTTTGCCTTCCACAATATTTTTTATTTCTGTCAGCTTTTTCTTTATTGAAAAGAGGCTTAAGTCTCTGAAATGAATTTCTGGTTGTATATAAAGTAACCAACTTTTAACAGACCTAACTGTTCACCTCTTGCAGTGGAGTATAAATCCCACCCACCACCAATTACAAGCCTAACCTTCCAATTCAATCCAAATGGTATCCCTAATTATACCCCCTACCTATTAAAGTTCCCCATTTCCAAAGGGATAATAAAGCGTTGGATGTTAGAGCAGCTTCCCTAGTTACTTCTAACAATATTTTTAAAAATACATGAAATAAGATACCCTCTAATTACCATGTCTATCAGTTTAATTAGAAATGTTTTAGCATTGCATAAAGAATGAATTTGTCACATATAATGTCTAAGTGCATCAAAAATGCATGACCTTGTAAATACAGCACTCATGTAAAACACACATGCAGCATGTTACTGTAACTAGTATTAGGACCTTGCCAAATGATTAATTCATGAGTACTTTCTGTTCTGATCCGTATTATCAAACATTTGCCATGTTTTTTTCCTTGTTGTTGTAGGTACCAGCAGACAGGTGTTAGGTGGCTCTGGGAATTGCACTGCCAGCAGGCAGGAGGAATTCTGGGAGATGAGATGGGATTGGGCAAGACCATCCAGATAATTGCCTTCTTGGCAGGTCTGAGCTACAGCAAGATCAGGACTCGTGGTTCAAATTACAGGCAAGTGCTCCTCTGCAGACTGTCAGTCTGTGGAGCTCAATTAATATTTCATCAGATGTATTGCTGGTGGAGGAGGGTCCTGTGAATTATTAATGACATTTCAATTACATTATTCCTTTAATTCTTTTAGTGGGGGACATCAAAGGAAATTTTTTACGAGACAATGGAGCTGTAGGGCAGGAAAAATTAAACATGTAACACTTTTAATGAATTCCAGGCATTGATGCTTCATTTTGCAGACGAGCCACACTAGATATTTTGGGTCAATACAATGTCTAAGGTTAGCTTACACAAATGGATTGTTTACAAACTCAATTACGTTAATATCAATAGTTTACACAATATGGAATTTTAAATTAGATGTTATACCTTTAGTTCCATTTATTACATTTTACATTAAAATATTTGTTCTGGCAAGACACCAGGTGAATGCTTTACAGGAAGTAACAAGCAGATTCAGGGTCAAAGTCAGGGCTTCTGATAGGTAACGGAACATCCTGGCAGGATCTTTTTTAAGACCAGAACAGATAGATCTACATCTGTCTTTTCTTCTGAAATCCATTCTTTAGGATGGCCAGTCTTTCATCACACCCCTTTCTACTTCTTCCATGTATCAGTCAGTACTGCCTAAAGAAGGAATTTACTCTTATTTGTGGATCAGACAGATCTCTGGAAGAAATATCTTCTGGAATAAATCCTGGAACATCAAGTGCACGCATAATAGTACTAATCATTCGTGGTTATGTCACACCTTCTATCTTAGGATCTCAAAGTATTAGATAGGATTTACTAAGAGTAGAAAATAACTAATGTAATTCAGTTTGAAAATCACTTTTCATTTTTTCTGTATACAAAGAATGTTTAGCATGGACATAGAAGATATATTTTGTAAGTCATTTTAACAGTTTTTTTTCTAGAAAGATCTTACCCTCCAATTGCTCTACTAGCTGAGAAGAGGACACAAGTATAGAAAACATTGCTCCCTCCCTCGCCCAGAGCTAGAAGTCTAGATTCCCAAAACAGGAGGAAGGGGATGGTGGTGCCCATTCCTTCCTTTATAACTTCTAGCCCTGTGTTTAGGGCACTCACTTTGGATATGGGAGACTCCAGTTCCAATTCCCAATGTGAAGGAAAGGATGTGATCTTGAGTCTCTCACCTCACAGCAGAGAGCCCTAATCTCTGGACTGTGAAGTAATCTGGGGCAGGTGTCTGCTCAGTCTCTCCGATTGAAGCTATTCTACTAGGCGAGTGTTCTACCACCAGGCTATAGTTATTTTTTCCTCTCCCTTCCTCCTTGCCTCCCACACCTTGGTGACCCTTTTAAGTGTTTTATGCAGAAAGAAACAGCTTCAACAGGAGAGATTGAAAGACCTGCTTGCAGAGAGAGGAACTTTGTTGTCAAGTTACACAATTGGCAAAACCTTGTCGTCGTTTATTCCTGTGTGCTAAGCCCTGGCAGACGACGTCAGTGGACATGGTAAATTCTGTTGAGATAGGAGTGCTGCTGTTTCAGTATATGTGACAAAATAGTTAAGTTTCCCAATATATCAACAAAAATATGTTTATTCAGTTGCCTTCAGTGCTATTGAGTTCGTGCCCCAGTTTCTTTTTGAAGATAATTTGCCTTTGGTGAGCAATAAATACTGATAATTTACTGATATCATCAGCTCAAGGTGCTATCACATTTCAGATGCCATAGAGATGATCTGTCCAGACTTTTCTCTTTGGCCTTGGCAATTGACAGCAGTGGTAGATTTGCTAGTACCAGAGTAACATAATTGCTGAAGCATCTGCATGGGTTTATTGGAAAAGCATGCAGCTAGGAGTCAGGAACATGCGCGCGCGCACACACACACACACACCCATGTTTCAGTCTAATCCCAGCCTTGCCATTTGCTCACTCACTCTCTCTCTCCTTGAGTTATTGCTTGAACTTTGTAGTCCAGGGTAATTTTGCAAAATGTTTTGAACAGGTGCTCATAGTAGTTTGGCTGCAGGAATGTTCACAACTAAGGGGGTGCTAGTGTAGATAAACACCACTCTTGCTTCTCCTGCCTTCTTATTTGTTCTTATGTGTTGCAGCCGTTAGTAGCATAGTGCTCTATATGAAGATAAAAAGACAAAATACTTAATTGGCGTTATTAGTTGGCTGAAGTTTAATTGGCGTTATTAGTTGGCTGAAGCTATAGAGAGTATGGGGATGATGACAGAAGTCTGGGGGAGATACTGCCTTAAGAAGAACAAGGTATAAAAGGTGCTTTGACATTGTGGGCTACTTGTTAGTGGTGTCCTTTTATTAAAAAGGTAATTAAGTGTGTTTCATTTCATTGGTGGAACTGGCATTGAAAGGCTTTGCAAAAGTAAGTTTTGAGGAGAACTCTAAATGAGGGCACAGTGATCATTAGATCTGGGAAACATAACAAGGCCTTTCTTCCCCCTCGTTAGAATAATAGATTCCAAGGCCAGGCGGGACCAGTAATCATTTAGTCTGATTTCCTCTGTTACACGGCCTAGAGCCCTGAAATAATTCCTAGAGCAGGTCTTTAGAAAAACATCTAGTTTTGGTTTAAAAAATGCCTAATGATGGAAAATCTACCATGGCACTTGATAAAATGACCGATGGTTAATTACTGTCCCTGTTAAAAAATTACATTTAATTTCTAATCTTAATATCTGGCTTCAAATTCAATCCTATCTGGCTTCAAATTCCAGCTATTGAATGGTGTTTGGTCTGTCTCTGCTCTGTTGGAGAGCCCATTATCAAATTTTGTTCCTGAGGGTAGGTACTTGCAGACTCTGTTAAGCTACCTAGTTAGAGCTCCTTGGGTCTGCCACTTTCATTCTTGTGGCTTTTCTTTGAATCCCCTCCAATGGATCAACATCCTTCTTGAATTGTGGACAACAGAACTGGAGACTGTATCCTAGCAGCAGTCACACTAGTACTAAATACAGAGGTAAAATTGTCTCTCCTCCTCTTCAGGATACCCCCATTTATTCATCCAATGATTTTGTTAGCACTTCTGGCCACAGCATCTTACTCGAAGGCCACGTTTAGCTGATTATCCACCCTGACCCATAGCTCTTTTTCAGAATCACTGTGTCCCAGGGTAGAGTCCCCTACCCTGGCAGTATGAAGTACGTATTTGACAGAGAGATCGTGTTTCAGTAAAAACAATGTTCCTTATAAATGTGGCCTCTGCATGAGGCACCTCTATAAGCTCTGGCGGCCCCATGGCTACAGTCAAGATAAATTTGCCCATGTCCATGTGACAGGTTCCCCCTGAGATTCCCTGCTAGGGGGAAGTCTGTGGAGAATTTACAGTGCAAAAAGGACTTCCAGCTATCTGACTGTAATTATGGGAGGGACATTGCAGTGAGGCACTCAAAGCAACATTTTCCAAAATGGGCATCTCAGGTTATGTCCTAATTAGAAATTGCTTCATTTTCAGAGGTGCTGAGCAACCCCAGCTTGCACTGATGTCAGGACTCAGTAGCCTAACGATAGACACTGAGGGTTAACAATGCTGGTGCAGGTCTTGTCAGGAATCCATGCCTCTCTCAAATGGTGAGGAGATGAGTGCAGCTTTATGTGGTGTTTGAGGTTTTGAAGATCCACAGTGAACTCTTGGCCCCACTGAAATCTGTGGGAGTTGTGCCATTGACATCAGTGTGACCAGGATTTCACCCTTAAGTAGCACAAGAGGTGCCCCTCAGAATGCTGGTGAGAGCATGCTAGGGGAGAATGGTGTGTGTCATCCTGTGTTGGGAAGCCCTGCAAGGTGGAATTGGGAACTGTCCCTAAATGACACCCCATGTGTCACTTATTTTATAAGGATAGGTACCACTATTGCAGACAGACTGAGCCTACGGTAACGCACCTTCCAGGATAAAAGGCTGCGGAAGTATCTCAGGCACATCTCTGAATACAAAGTTACTCGTTTATTACATAAGAAACTAGTCGCAGAGACTTATATCATAGTGGCCATAAATGTCTTCCTTTGTCTGTCATCCGGCATACCCTCCCTCTACCTCTCTACTTCCGCTGGCCTGTTAGTGACTGACTCACACATAATTACTTCTTAGTTGGCCGTTGCTGATCCAATCCGAATGAGGACCTCAGCATTCACCAACAGACAAACATATTCCTTCTTTATGATACCGTGGACCTTACAAGCATGGCTCCTGGGACAGGGTAGACATTGCAAAGGTTACTGTTTCTGAACAGGTGTCCAAGTGATTCTAGCTGCCCAGAGGCATCTATTGGACGGGCAGCTAGAACTGGAAAAGATTTGTGAACTGGTGTGAAAAGACCTAGGTGTGGATCATTTCATTGATCTGCCAAAAAACTGCTTGCTAACCTTCTTTGCCCTTCTCGGTCTTGGTTACGGATCCCACCCATCGGAGTATATTTGGCTGCTTTTTCATTTGCTGAAGGCAGATACATTTCTGCTCTGTTTTCTGTGCAGATTCTGGCAAGACTTCACAAACTCTTTCTTAAAAGAACCCTTGTCTTTCATCTGGAGTGTACTGAGGTCCTTAGAACATCCTCCAGGTTTTTCTTTCATTTCAGTCAGGTGCATTAACTCAACCTATCTCCAAAAAAACATGTCTAATGGTCAGCTGACAGGCTGCATTTTTTGGTGCTTTTCCTCGGCAGGCCTGCTAAGGCGTACTTCTATTAATCACATGGATATTGAATACTTTAACATCTGTAGCCGACCTCCACTCTGTTCCCATCATGGAGACTTGCAGAACTCCTACACAGAGTTCTCTGCTTATTTTTTCAAGGCTGTACTACTCTGAGTAAGCCTTTTTGCATGAATCTAGGTGTGGCTTCCATAGTTGCAGAGTTTATTTCTCTACTCTCTTAGGCATCCTGGTGATTTCAGGATGTCTCCCCTGCTTAATAATTTCTGTTTCTGTTGGAAGTATCCTAATTCTTATTTAGAAAACTAAACAAATCTTTTGCTTTCACCTCAGCAGTACATGGGCATCATTTTGCATACTTGAAAACTGTGCAGTGACTATGGTTACTCCTTGGTACCAACATACTGCTACTAAGTTAATCTTTAATAGACCCATCACTGGGTGTTCTTTTTCTCCACCAGGGAGAGCAACTGGTGGCGTGTGCCTTTGGGGAGAGAAAAATAAATCACTAGTAATTCTAATCTTCAGAAGGTATCCGATTACACCAGAGCCCTCCCTCACTTGCCTGCCTACCTAGAGTTGGGGTTCATTTTAGTATTGTGATACATTTCACTTTTGCTCTGATGCTGTGTCTACGCTTTGAGGAAGTGGTGTAATTCCTGGCTTGAGACGATATACTCTCACTCACTTCTGTTGAGCCAGTATGCTAAATAGAGTATAGCTGAGGGGGCAAGAGGGGCTAGCCATCTGAGTATGTATTCAAGGAGGCTAGGTTTTACTGTGCTACTATTGTAGTCCCTTGACATGGGAATCACACCTCTTGCTCAGAGCCTAAACAACCTTAGTGGCAGTAGTTAGCACACACTGCAGAGAAGAAAGTGAGTAACTTTGCAAGTTTAGAAATTCAGTGGGAGATGAATTCTGGGGGGGGGGACGACACCTGAAAAGGGTATACGTAGCCACGCCCCCCCCCCCCAAAATGCTGGGGGGGGCCAAGAGGCCAGCGTCAGAGCTGGAAGGGAAGAGGCAGGGCTAGAGCCTTTCCCCTTCTCGTTCTGGCCACACTGCCTGCGTGGGAAGCTGCCCAGTGCAGTGTAGTGGCTGCTGTTTCCCAGGCAGTTGCTGTGCTGCTCTGGACAGCATCCCAGGCAGGCAGCGTAGCCAGAGGCTGCCTGGGAGAGTGCCCAGGGGAGGACAGAGTGCCCCTCCCCAGCCCTGCCAAGTAGCATGCCATGGGGAGGGAACAGGGAGAGCACGGGGGACCCCCAGCTGGGGCAGGAACAAGTTATATGGGGGGGCACATATGAGGGATAAACTCTCCTTCCCCACCTGGTCCGTCTTTTACGTCCTTCCCACTAGTCGCCCCTGGATTCAGGAGTTAGGAATCTGTTATAATTACAGCCCTCTGAATACAAGATTTACAGATAAATTATTTTCCTTTTTTCCTCCCTCTCCAACCTCCTCAGGTAGCTAGAATGGATTTTCTCTAAATGCCCAAAACAATCCATCTCGATTGAAACCAGGCATGAGAAACTAGCTGCTGTGGTAATTTTGAGAGAGCGCTAATCCTCTAAACATGAATGCTTTCAGGCAAAGTACCTTCTCAGTGCTGTCGGTAGCATCCTAACAGCACTGAAGATTTTCAGCAGTTATCTGTTTTATATTAACTAGGCATCTGATGGCTACTTTGGCTTGTAGTATAAAGCTTACTTATTTGACGGCTGAGCAAATCAGAAAATGGTAGGATTTCATTAGATCACTGATGAGCCGTCTGTAAACTTCAAATAGAAATGAAGAGGGCAAACCACCCTGCGCCTAAGGAAACAGAAAGCCAGCCCTGAAATTTGGGGCTAGAAATGGAAACCTACCTGCCTCAGTAAGAGTTCTTTGAATGCTGCAGCCAGTGCTAATAATAAGCAGCACATTCAAATCAATTAACCATCAATATTCATATCCTGCGATCCATAATGAAAGAGTATGGTATATTGGATTATAGCTCAGCTCTCTCATTAATATCGTATTGTGGGGGAAAGGCTTCAATAAAAGAATGTGGGTATATTAACCCAAGAACCAAATCAGTTGTGAATGAAAATGCCCACAAGAACATAGTATCTCTTGACATTAAAACAGTCACCTTTTGAGCAAACCGGGTTGCACATCTCTCATACTCTTAGTTCTTTTTGTTTTTAATACATTTAAAAAGCAGAAGCGCAGCATCTGAGACTGGACGCAAGATGGGAATCAGCTGTCCTGGCTCGGGCCAGGTCCCCTCTGCCTCCTCTGCCCCCTGGTTGAAATGGTCCTGGGGAACCAGCTTTTAAGCCAGCTCCCCCCAACACCAGCTCCTGCTCCCCCTTCCCTCCCCCACACACACTTGCTGCCTCTGATAAAGGCAGCAATGGGGGGTGGGAGAAGCAATTAGTCACTTACGTCCCTAATTCACACTGGCTGGCAAAACACCATGTGGTTTTAAAGAACTGCTGAAGTACAAGGTAAAAGGTTAGACGTGGCTGACGGGGATTTCCTGGTGACAGAGCGGTAGAAATGTCAGAGAATTACACTACGGCTATGTCTGCATTGGCAAAGTTCTGTGTATTAGTTACATCACCACTCAGAGCACTGAAGAGAAATCACTGTTGTGTGTTCACATCAGATGCTTGTGCAATAGTATGTTCACACATGTGGTACCTGCATCAGAATTTGGCATAGTGCACTTTGAGCAGCTCTCTGACAGAGCATCTCTCCCTCCTCTGCTATTAAGTGTTTAGGGAGGCAGAGGGGGTTGTGGTCGCAGTGCAGCCGGGGTCTTGCGCCAGTGCCCTCTGATGCATTGCTTCTCATCCCAGCAATCCCTGTGTTTCCATCCGCATTTGACACCATCTTTCAGCAGTTTGCTTCCTAAGTGCTTTGCCTCCTTGTTCTGCAGTAATGGATCCCACATTGCTGACCAATATACCGCATACTCTCACTGATACATTACGAGTGGCAGTGGAGTTCTCCGTAAACTGGAAAGGCAAGAGGTGTCTGGCATTGATCTCGCTACGTACAATATCTATACCATGCAGTAATTGCCCTGGCAGGCACGGCTCAGGAAACAAGCCCTGAGGGGTGGGATCACATGGTCATGCATGTGTGGGATGACAAGCAGTAGCAGACCTTTTGCTGGAAGAAAATGGGAGAAGGAGAGAAGTATTTTCCTTCTGGAGAGCAGGGTAGTTCTGAGTACAATTATATTTTCTTGGAATTTGTTCTCAGCGGTATATACTGCTTCCTCATTTTGAGAGAGAAAGAGAAGGGGGTCAAACGTGAACAAAAGAGCTGGGAGCCAGAGAAGTTCTAATCCCAGCTCTTAGTCTGACTTCCTCTGTAAATTTCAAAACCCGTATGAGTTCTTTCGAAAAAGGGTTGGTTTTTTTGAAAGAACCACGTCTAGACTGCGGTTTCACTTTCGAAAAAGCCTTTTTCAAAACAGCGATTGGACGCGAATATGCAAATGAAACGCAGGATAGCTAAATCCGCGCTTCATTTGCACTTTTGATTGGGCTCATTTACATTTCTCTTTCGACAGAGGAATATAGTCTAGACAAGCCCTAAGGGTGCATCTACATTGCAATCGGAGCTCAAAATAAGCTACACAATTTGAGGTATGCAAATTGCGTAGCTTATTTCAAGTTAATTTGGTGCTGTCTACACAGCACTTATTTCAGAATAAAACGCTATTCTGAAACTCCCCTTATTCCTCGTGGAATGAGGTTTACAGGGGCATTGGAATGAGCCCATTATATTTTGAAATAACAGGCATGCCCAAAAGACACAGAATAGCTATTTTGGGATACCGAAGGCATCCCGAAATAGTGCCGCAGTGTAGATGTAGCTTAAGGTGCCACAGGGCTACTTGTTTTTAAAGTTGTTGGCAGTTAGTAATTTCAGTTCTTTTAAAGATACATTGTGCATCCTAAATCTGATTTGCATTATCACAGTACCCTTTTACCATTTTGTTTGCAGTTTTTCTATTAATGGATTCGTTCATCAATATAAATACATAAACTGTTCAGCTGTTGTAGCTGTACCCGGAAACCCTTTTATCATGTGTTTGAAAAGAAAAGAAAATGCCAATCAATTGCCTTAGATGACATATTCTATTTGAATTTTTAGTGTCTGTTGGTTATTTTAATGGACCACATCAAATAGCATATTTATTTCACATTAATGTTTTCTTCCTGAATGCTTTCTTTTAGGTTTAAAGGTTTGGGCCCAACGGTGATTGTGTGTCCAGCTACAGTGATGCATCAGTGGGTGAAAGAATTCCACACTTGGTGGCCTCCTTTTAGAGTTGCAGTTCTTCATGAAACTGGCTCTTACACCAACAAAAAGGTAACATTTGAAAAGTGTTTGTGCACTTGTTACCTTAATACATAGAGTTGTGTATCCATTTTTCTTGAAGACTTGTGTGTGTGTGTGTGTGTTTAATCCTTTAAAACATTCTCAGAGATTTGCCTGGTTTCTCTGGGAAACTCATGCAAAAAGTGATGGCTAAACTGTAATGTAACCAAAAAGCGTGGATTGGTCTTAACATTAATGCATTGTTCCCTTAGAAGCCGTGCTATTCTGCTGCTCTCGCTCGGAATTTATTGTTCATCATGCCATAGTTCACAGTACTCCAAAATACTAAAAACCGTCCCAGACCCTTGCCAGTGTGCCCTGAGAACACTTCTTGACCCCATATCTGAGGACTGATTTAACCATGTGCATATGAACAAGAATTCCTTAGCATGCCATCTAATCCTGTTTACAGCCTAATATATTAGTGAGGTCCATGTAATATTCAACACGTCTGTCTTGAATCTTGTCACGTTGGAATCTTCTACCTCCAGAGGCAAAAAATTTCTGAACACATGGAGGAAGAGTTGTCCTTGCATCAGTTTAACCTAAACTTTTGTGATCTTAGTTTAATTTCCAGGAATCCACATGTTCCTTTTGCTCTCTTCTAGCAACCTTATCCAAATCAAGGCAGTCCTCTCTATGTACCTTTGCAGTGTAACATGAGCCCACATGCTGAGCATAAATAAAAATTCTACTTCAAACTTTAGAGTCTGAAGGTTCAACTCAGGAAGGTGCTGAGAATCATCAACTGCCACTGAGTTCCATGTAGGCTTGATCATTAAAGCACTTTTCTCTATTTTCCCACAGACGTAAGGCACTCCCAAGTAAATCCTCACCATTGTGCAAGGCCATAGTGTAATTCTTTCCTTCCTTGTGTATAATTAGGAAACCGTATATGAAATTATTAGCCTTCTTTTCTGCAGCTGATCACTGTATTTAAGAACCTGTTTGTGCACAGACATTGATACTGATGAATTCTTCCATTGTGATAGCCTGTCCTAAAAGAGCCTTGATCCAATCTAATCGGTTCCATCAGCACACACAGAGTTCGACTTTTTAAAAAAAAATTATTTGGTCAACTTTTCAGTATTTGGTACCTGTTGGAAGGGAAATGAGAGGAAAATTTAGACTTGTTTTTGGCTGCTGTTTCAGGTTCTTAATTGAGTTTGCAGAATTCGGTAAACCATTTTCAGATTTCTGTTTAAATATTTATTGAATTTCTTGTAATATTATGGTGGTAGGGAGCTTAATTGCATTTGATTAAATGTATTGTGAAATAATCAATATAATTACAGTACACAGCAGTAAATGAACAGCGCACTGAGAAATCTGCTAGTAGCTTCCTGATGCTCAATTAACTCAGTGTGTCTTCATTCAAGCCCTAAACATCTACTGCCCGCAATAATGTGCTTGCATATATTCCTAAATTAAATCATGCATACTTATTTTGGTGTTACTATTAATTAATGAACCTATCTAACTTACCCAGAATTTGCACAAGAAGGGAGAGAGGAGGTGCACTGACAACTTCAGAACTTCCCATCCCACCAGCTAAATAACAGTTCAAATACCCTCTGCTGATATCTCTTTAAATATTATTATTTGTGTTACTGTTGCCTTCGTTATGGATCAGCACCCCATTCAGGTAGGTGCTATACAAATTCAATAGAAAAAAGATGCTCCCTGCTCTCCAAATAGCTTACTAAGACTGTGGACACCCCTGCTACATACAGCAAGTTACAGTGCTGTAAAGCGCCAGTGTGAACAGGCTCCCAGTGCTGTTAGCTGCTCTCCTCATGGAGGTGGTTTGCCTAGAGCACTGGCAGAGCTCTCTCCCAGCACTCTTGCATGACCACACAGTTGGGTTAAAGCACTGCTGCTGCAGCAATTTGAACGTGGACGTGTAGACAAAGCCTTTGTCCAAGACCAGAGACAACAGATGGATATAGACAGAGGAATTACAAGTAAACAATGAGGCAGTGGTGATCAGCACATTTCCTACTGTGAAACTGACAAGACAGCCAACTGCATTCTCCTAACTACAACAACATAAGCCCTATGTCTCTGTGGAGGTGGAGTTATGTTGGTGTAGTAGGGCGCTTACCTTGGTAGAAGCAAGTCTGTGGTGCAGACACTGATGTAATTAGGTTGATGTAAACTGCCTTATGTCGTTTATGAAGCAAAGCTGTAGTGTAGACCAGTTCAGAATAACTAGAGCACCCACGCACAGGTTGAAGCCCAAGCTATTGTTAAAGTTGCAGAGTCATCTTTGTATGTCTAGTTAGATTGAGGCAGCTGAAGAGCAAAATAGCCCACATATAAGTGTACATCAGGCAGATTCTGACATGACAATTTACCATGCAGTACCAGGCTTTGAAATCAAAGCACTGCTAATGTCTCTTTTTAATGTATCTATAGGCAGTTTTTTCTCTATTGATAAATAAACATTCCTTCAGAAAACAAGCCAAAGGCACTAGTGCAAAGGAAAAGGACCCAATACATAGAAATGGTTAACTGCGATATGGTTTCACTCTCAAAAGATTCACTTCAAAAAATAATGACCTTTCCCCCTCATGCTCAGTATTTACTGGGATTAGTCACTTACATCCCTGCCAGCAACTAGTGTCCCATTAAATATATAATAAGCTCTCTCTGTGAATTGCAATAGTGACACAGCTTGATCATGGTCTGCTTTGTGAAGATATGTTCAGACTTCTTTTCATTCACGTACCTAGCAGGAAGAGAACGTGCTTAGTGAGAGGCATTTTTCTTGTGTTCATCATCAGAAAGAAGATCTGGCTAAAAAACCACTGATTGCTGTTTGTCGAAACGTGGTCCTATTTTGGACACGAGACTCCTCTTAATTGGGCGGTCCTAGACAATCTGTCAGTCACCCTGATGTAGGAGAAAAGATTCTTGTTTCGAGACTGAAGGCAGCAAATGCTGTTTTAAATAAAAATGCAAGCCCTTAAAAAAAAGTTCTAATTTTGTCATTATTTCTTGTAATCTGTGACACCATCTCTTTTAATACCAGAACTCAGAATTTCAAACCTAATTAACCACCACTTAACCCTTAGGCAATAGATGAATTTGTCCCCATTAAGCAAAACTTATTCTAATGCTGTCCCAGTTAAGTAGCAGTCATTGCCTTGCACTATCATTAGGCTAAATTGGTTCCCTGAGACATCCCAGTAAAGCAAACATTGCTATTAAGTACATCTTAATTTAAGCAAAATAAAGAGTATTGTGAGCAGATTGCAATCTGAAGATTACAGATATGCCATCTGATAAAGTAACATGAATTCTGAAATGCTACAGCACCAGAACAGGATACATGAATGTTTAACACTGAAATCTATGAAAACCCTCTTTCTTTTAATTTATTTTAATAGCTGTAACTTACTCCATACACCCTTAAGTATCCACTAGATACATTGAAATGATAGGTAATAAATGTTGTAGTATGCATTGTTAAAATTGTATTTGTTGTGTTTTTCCTTTGTCAGCACAAATCCTTGTTTATTAAAGGTTTAGCTTGAAGGAAATTTTAATTAATTACAGGTTCAGTAAATCCTGACTAGGAATCTGCTGTGCTGTGTTTACAGTGAATGGCCTTCATGTGCCTGTGTTTCACTCCTGTTCTCTCTGCTATCTGACAGTGTGATTTATGGCTGTTGTTTTTCTACCAGTCCACTGTTTGCCCTCTAGGAGGGATTGGTCTCCTGAGCCTCCATAATAACAGCAGTCTTTCACAAAACATCTTTTAATGACAACAGTGTAGCATTCTGTAAGTCAGGCTAATTGCAGACATACCCTATTAATTGCAAAAACTAGGAGAGGTTACATATTTTACAAGCTTTTAATTTGAAATCGCCCGAGATTATTTGTCTTAAGTGTTTGGATAGAGATGTCTACAATATTCTGCGATAGGCCATTACTGAGAATCTGAAACACACAGTTAGAGAATACTAGGAATGAATCAGGTGAAGTTAAGTTTGTGTTCATTTCTACCTAAAAATACTGCTCTTTTTGTAGTACAGAATGTTATAAGAGTTCATATCATGGCAATATATAAGATAATTTCTACTTCTGGTTTAACAATTGCATATGCTACACTGGTTTTAGTAGGTAACATTCAAAGAGTGGAAAATCTAAGATAGGTTGAAGTGGAAGAGATTGTAGAGTTTTTTTAATGTCTTCAACCATACAACAATCAGTTATAAAATTATTTTTTCATAGAAAGTGATTGGTGGTTTATCAAATGTTCATCGGCATCATTAGGGAGGAATGCAGCAGGTCTTTTAAAAATAAAATATATCCAGAGATGCTAAAGGAGTACTGAAGGATGATAAGGTAATTGGGAAGAATTTAAATAAATTATTTGCCTCAGTCTTCACAGCTGAAGATGTGAGGGAGATTCTTAAACCTGAGCCATTCTTTTTAGGTGACAAATCTAAGGAACTGTCCTACATTGAGCTCTCGTTAGAGGAGGTTTTGGAACAAATTGACAAACAGTCACCAGGACCAGATGACATTCACCCAAGAGTTCTGAAAGAACTCTAATGTGAAATTGCGGAACTACTAACTGTGGTTTGTAACCTGTCCTTTAAATCATCTTCTGTACCTAACCAATTCTTTAAAAGAGCTCCGCAGGTGATCCTGGCAATTACAGGCTAGTATGTCAAACTTCAGCACCTGACAAACTGGGTGAAACTATAGTAAAAAACAGAATTGTCAAATAATCAACAAGCATGTGGACAAAAAGGATCTAGCAAATATAGTGTACTTAGATTTCCAGAAAGCCTTTGACAAGGTCCCTCACCAAAGGCTCTTAAGCAAAATAAGATGTTATGGGATAAATACTGTGTGCAGATGTGGTTGCCTCGTCTCAAAAAAGATATACAGTAAACTTCTGATAATCCGGCACCTTTAGGGCCCAGGGGGGTGCCGGATTATAAAATATGCCAGACTATCGGAAGGGGGGACTATGAGGAGTCTGGGGTGAGGGTGGGATGATCAGTTTCAGCAGCAGCTGAATCGGGGACGCCTGCGGCAGAGCAGCTGGGGTGCTGCCAAGTTGGTCCTGCAGCCCCGAGGGGCAGCGCTACGGGACCAACCCGGCAGCACCTCAGCTGCTTTCTGCTCAGTTTCAGCAGCGGCTGAATCGGGGAAGGTGGGCACAGAGCAGCTCCAATTATCTGGCTGCCCGGAGCACTTCCGAGTTCCCGATGGTGCCGGACCATCAGGAGTGCTGGAGCATTGGATGCCGGACCAATGGAGTTTTACTGTATTAGAATTGGAAAAGATTCAGAAAAGGTCAACAAATAATTATTTGGGGGATGGAACAGTTGCCATAGAAGGACAGATTGATTACACTGGGACTTTTCAATTTAGAAAAGAAAGGACTAAGGAGGGGGAGATGATTGAGGGTTATAAAATCATGAATATAAGGAAAAGTTATTTGCTCCTTCTCATAACACAAGAACTTGGGTTCACCAAATGAAATCAACCTGTGGAACTCCTTGCCAGAGGATTCTGTGAAGCTGAAGGCTTTAATGGGGTTCAAAAAAGAACTAGATACATTCATGAAGGATAGGTCCGTCAGTGGCTATTAGCCAGGATGATGACCCTAACCTCTGTTTGTCAGGGCTGTTCTGTCCATTCCTTCTGAAGAATCTGGCATTGATCGCTGTAGGAAGACATGATACTGGGCTAGATTGACGTTTGGTCTGATCCAGTATGGCTGCTGTTGTGTTCTCGGTCAGGTTGGGCAAGCCAGTAATTTCCTTGCGCTTTAGATCTTTATCTGTAAAAAGGGAATAGTAGCACTACCTTACCTCATGGATATGATGTGAAGATAAATGCATTAAAATATGTAGGTTCTTAGATACTATAAACATGGAAGTTTATAGAAGTGGCCAAGAAAGATAAGCTAGATGGTCCCTGCTGCAAAGAGCTTATAATTTAAATAGATAAGATACACATGGTAGGGGAAAGGGATGTCACAAGGAAGCAGAATGTAGAGTGTGATTGTTTTCAAATGTCATGTTAGTCCCATGATTTCTTCAGAATTCTTTAGGGGTGGGAGGGGGGGGCTTTAGCCAAATGGAAAGACTTTGTTGACGTTCAAATGTAATTCTTCATTAGCTTGGTTTTCTTTTTTTGTATTATTGCATCTTACTTGCCATGCCAAAGTTAAGGTTGAGGAATAGAGAGGAGGGCTAGAAGAAATTAATTATGCGGGCAAAACTTAATGCCAGGTTCTAAATGGGTCTCAAATGTTCATTTAAGAGATAGTAGTATTTCTTCAGAAAGGACATAGCACCAAATTCTGATCAATTACACATGCTAATGCTGAGTAATTCAATTTCAAGTAATAGGAATTATTTGGGATTTGCATCATTGTATCTGAACAGAATTTGTTCCTTTTTATGTATTTGTTAGCCCTTTTGTGATGAGAGAGCACTGGTCTTGGCCATACTTATTTTATTAACATACAAAACTTTTTTCAAATACTTTTTTAACGCAACCAGGATCACAAATAAGCAGTTCAGTTGGTCTTCATTTGACATTTTAATGTTAAATAATTGGCAACAAATCATTCTGTTTACAGGTGAAACTAATTCGTGAAATTGCAACGTGCCATGGCATTCTAATCACCTCCTATTCATACATTCGATTGATGCAGGACCATATCAACAACTATGACTGGCATTATGTGATTTTAGATGAAGGTCATAAAATCCGGAATCCTAATGCTGCAATTACACTTGCATGCAAACAGGTATGGTACCATAAAACAAACCAAATACCTTCATTCGTAAATGTTTTTGAAGAATTAAATAAACCATTTGAAAAAATAAGCTCAGAATCTGATAGGAACTATGGATTGCTGAATCATAACATCATAGATTTAAATCCTAGCAAAGAATAAATGCATTCGTCATGAAACTTTTTTTAAAAATCTTGCTTAGATGCCTAATTTATTTGGTGTTTTAAAAACTGTTTATGACAGTTACTAAAAACCAATAATGTTATGGTAGGATAAATTCAAGGTTTTATTAGAATTGGCTATAAATTAGTGTTAAATATAGATTTAAAACATGCATCTGAAACAGATTAATTTTATTTTATGGAATATGAATGCTAAGTCCTGTTTGAGCTATCAGTTTTGTAGATAGCATTTCACAAGAAGCTTATATTTATTTCAGGGGAAATGTGCTATATATTTTAAAATGTGACAACTCATTGATGTGATATTGGGTTAAAGCCAACTCATGAAAATGTCTTCCTTCTAAGTTGTTTTGTTTTATATTAATAGTTCCGCACTCCCCATCGAATCATCTTGTCTGGCTCCCCTATGCAAAATAACCTAAAGGAGCTCTGGTCCCTGTTTGACTTTGTATTCCCAGGGAAACTGGGAACCCTGCCTGTTTTCATGGAGCAATTCTCTGTGCCAATAACCATGGGAGGATATTCCAATGCCTCTCCCGTGCAGGTAAAGATAACAGCAACCTATTTATCTAAATGATGGTCATTAATTTGTAGGAAAAGTTTACTGTATCGTTTCAAAACTCACTGAAAATGTTTATTACATGCACATTTAGAAACCTTTTATTTTTATTTACACACACGCACACACAATTTTCACTTTGATTTTGTTTCACTGTGTGGATTTCAAACATCAGCAAAATGCTGTAATATTTGTAGAAACAGAAGGAAAAACTGTAGCACTTTAAAGACTATCAAGATGGTTTAATAGGTGATGAGCTTGTTGATAACCATCTTGTTAGTCTTTAAAGTGCTACATAGTTTTTCCTCTTGTTTTAGCAAGATCAGACTAACACGACTACCTCTCTAGTAATATTTGTAGAGAAATGTTTAAATCACTAGTGAAAACAGTTTTCATTTAAAAGCATACTATTCCCATGCTATTAAGAGCAGGTTCTATGAAAGTATTTTAAAACCAAATCTAATTTTGAAGCCCAAATTGCCTAAGACTATTCTTTTAAAAAAGCATATCTGTTAATCTTCACAATTGTTGCAGTTCTAAATATTGCAAGTATTTTATTTAGGTGACTTTGTAAACATTTACCTGCATTGCATTTATTAAATTAGTTTTTAGATTAATTGGTTTGTAAAGTAATCTGAAGATTAAAAGTTCTATATAAATGGTTAGAATATAAATTATTTCCACTGTAACATTTCTCTTAATATTTTATGCACACATTTTTCTACAATTTTATCTTCGTTCCGAGTTTAAGTGCTTCCCTTGTCTGAGGCTTGGTAATTTACTAAATTGAATGGCCATTTTGATTTTTACATATCAATAATTTATTATATTCTTTGTTTTGCTTTAAGAGAATTGAGGGTATTTTTAGCCATTATGTACAGTTAATACCCATCTCACACATCCATTACCCATTACAGAACCATATGCTCCATTTAAGGCCAGAATGACCTTTAGTTTCTGTGATCATAGGGGTTTTCTTATGCCGATTTTTTTTTAATAGTCTCAAGTGGGCACTAATCTTCACTTATTGTCCGGCACCCCATTGCTGCAGGCTTCGTTTTGATCTTCAGTCTGTATATGAGCAGTTCTGTGTGTGGCTTTTGGTTGTATGCAAAATTGCACACACGGATTCATTGATAAAAGTGACTTGCCTGCGGGGAAGTGCTTCTTTCTAGACAATACATCTATAATTTCTGGTCTCCTTTCAGTTGAATAAATTCCACCAATTTAAGCCAAAATAAATGAGGGTACCTGATATGGGAGAATCCATTTATTACATATTATTGTTGGATAACATGAATTCATTACAAATTAATATTGGATAATAAAAAAATTATTGTAACTTCAGCTATCCATTAAGAGTAGGAAAATTTTTAAAAACTAGATGGCATAGACATATTATTATTTTCTACCTTTTATTTAATGAATCTTATTTAAATAAAAACAACTCTTCTACATTGAATGATCTTAAATGCTGTGCCCTTTCCCTTCTCTTCTAAAGGTAAAAACTGCCTACAAGTGTGCATGTGTTTTACGGGATACCATAAACCCCTACTTGCTGCGTAGAATGAAAGCTGATGTGAAAATGAGCTTGTCACTGCCAGATAAAAATGAACAGGTTTGTTTAATATATATATATATGTGTGTGTGTGTGTGTGTGGGTATAGTGTTTGATCCTTTGCCTCGTGAAGTTCATAGCAAAACTTGTTGAGAGTCCATGTGGAAAAAGAGTATAGAGAAGGTAAATCAACACATTTTAAGTTCTCAGTAATGGCATAAGGCTTAGGAGCTGGGGAAGTCAGTGTGTTTAAATGCTTGAATAGCTACTGAGGTATTTTATTTTGTAGGTATTTATAAATCATCTGATTCCCATATCATCTGGGCACAAAAGTCTGATGGAATTCTGTAATGAGGAAAGAATCTGTTTTCATCTTAAATAAGGAATTGTAGCCCCACAAATCCTACAGATTGCAGCCTCCTCTATGATCCAGCATGCAATCCTTCATCTTGAACTTCTATTCTCCACACAGCTATGCATCCATGTTAAAGCAAAGGGCATGTAAGGTGCATTCTATTTTCTAGTCTATTCTATGTATATTGGTTTCAGCCCTTGGGCTCCTGGTGAGTGATCAGTGGTAGCCCCAATTGGCCAAACGTATGCATCCTAAGAACAGTGCCCGTAGGATACCTCTTGTGGTATGTTCATTTTCAAAGAGGTCATAAAAAATGTTGTTCCTATTGTTATGAGGTTCATTTGGCTGACAAATTCTTACCAGGGAACTATGTAGTGTGACCGTAGTATTTCAGATTGCCAAGTGCCAATAATCTTCCAAAGTGTTCCCTTTTGGGGCTGAAATTTTCCATGCTTGTTCAGTGACTGAAGGTGAATGGTTTTGGAAAGGTTTAAAACAAACAGAAGGAAGTTTTTCTTCACTCAGCGCACAGTCAATCTTGCCAGAGGATGTGGTGAAGGCTAGGACTTTAACAGCATTCAAAAAAGAGCTAGATAGATTCATGGAGGTTAGATCCATCAATGGCTATTAGCCAAGATGGGTAGAAATGGTGTCCTTAGCCTCTGTTTCTCCGAAGGTTGGTGACAGGAAAGGGATCTCGTGAGGATTTCCTGTTGTGTCCCCTCCTTCTGGGGCATCTGGTATTGGCCACTGTCGGAAGACAGGATACTAGGCTGGATGGACCATTGGTCTGACCCAGTCTGGCCACTCTTATGTTCTTATGTCCTTGAGCTAAATTCCTTCTGCCATTCTTGAGTTAATGTAAGAATTGTTTTTGTTTTTTTGCTTTGTTTTTAAAGAAAGCAACAAACATCTGTGACTCTCAGGAGCCACTGTTTCTAGTATGGGTTAGGTTTGCTTCCCTACCTTTGTTTCTCTACCACACCCCTTTTTCTTTCTTCTTCCCTTGCTTCCCTTGCAACTGCTCTTTGGTCTTCCCTTCTGTTTCTCTCACCATTAGGCATCTCAGATATGTAATAATGATAGTGATAACTCACTGTCCACTCTGTTGGGAAACTGGGAAGATCATCCGGTCTGCTGTGAAGTCTCACGCTCTCTGTTCAGTCACTCTCTGGAGCAGGGGTTCAATATACTTTTAAAAAGTAGTCTATTTCCTCCTGAAGAACACATTGCAAAGTGAATTAAAATCAAATGATTTTTCTTGTCAGTTACAGAGCTGTACATGAGTTTGACTTATGGCATAATGTTTGTTCCCTTGCAGGATGTGAGTGAGTGATTTGGTCCATTTTAGCCCATCAGAGTATTTGAAAAATCATTATATGGTCACGTTTGAAGATTAATGACAGAACAGATTACATGTGCTAAACTATTGTTTACCCATGAGGTCATAGGGGGATTGCAGGTTTTAAGGGATATATCAGATACATTGTACAAAGTGCTTCCAATACTTAGTATTCTATAAATTCCACTTTAAAAAGCTCTTGCATTAAGGGAATGTTAAAATTGCACAGTTAAGCAATGAAGTCAGGAAATAGGAAAGTGAAGCTTGCATAAATAAATGCAGATGGAGAAAATAAAGGGCACAGAATGGATGCTGAAACTCATCTCTAACTATAGCATTTGCCTCCGACAACTACTGTACCATTTGCTAAATTTTTTGACTTCTGATGGGCTCTTTTTCTTAATTTTGCACTTTTGATGGATTAAGAGTTCTTCCGTGAAGCTTTATTCTTCTTTTGTTTTATGTACATTTCATATCTCAGGAAGTTGAATGGTAACTGGTTAAGTGCACAATATTTCTTTTGTAGGTTCTGTTTTGCCGTTTGACAGATGAACAACGTCAGGTCTACCAAAACTTCATTGACTCCAAAGAAGTTTACCAGATTCTCAATGGAGAAATGCAGGTTGGCATTAATTAAGGTAGATGATGACGTGTAAGAGTTTAAAGGTAGCTATCTGGAAAAAAGTGCTGACTGCCTTTCAGCATTTTTCTAGCTGGAATCTAAGCAGGGTCTTAGAGAGAAATATGTAATTTTCTTAGTTCCATTTGTGTGGTCATTTGCTCATTTTTCTTAAAATTACTTAGGCAGTGAGAGAATAGAATGGAATTTTGGTTTTCCATAGCATCTCGATACTCAAAATATCCCAGAACCCTTTACATAGGCTAGTAATGGAGTGACTGAGAGAGACATTATGAGTATTTCTAGACTGCATCCCTCCTTGGAGGCATCAGGGATCTGTCGAAAAAGGCTTTCTTTCTTGACAGATCCCCCTCTAGACTGCTTCTTTTTGTCAACAAAGTGCTGAGTCGGCAAAAACGGTGGCCATTTTTATGTAAATTAAGCACGGGCTATTTAAATCTCCGCTTCATTCTCAATGTCGACCTGCCTAATCTGCATCCCTCTGCCGACAGAGGGATGCAGTCTAGACGTACCCTATGTGTTGAACAATAGTATGCGCACGCAATTGGATATTAGAACTAGTTTTACTGAAAGAGGGCATGCTGGCCAGGGCAGTGGGTTATGGTTTCTAAAAATCACTAGGCGCTTCATTCTCCACCCAACAAGCAGTCATAAGCAAAAGGACTTCTTCACTTGGAAGTTTTTGCCTTAGTGCATGCCCTGAAGTCTTGATTTTGGCTTTCAGCTTCTGACCAGATTTTCCTGTAAGCTGGGTGCTTGTGTGGCCACTCAGGAGAGATTCAGATGCAGCCCAGCTGATCAGCAGAACACCTACAGCTAGGTGTTTGTTTCTGCTGAGGGTGCACCTTGGCACGTAGATTATACTTCATCATCATACGTCATTTTTGTAATGTATGACTATCCACCATGAATGACAATGGACTGATATTGGGCCAGTGAATGAGAGTGTGTGTGTCACCCTCTACAGCCTGGGAGTTTGTGCATTTACTTAGGATGTTGACAATCCAGGTTCAGATCTCTGGTGTAGTAAGACTTGAATTATTTTATAAAATGTGAAACAGTTTAAGAGGAGAGATTTGAGAACCTCACACCGGAATATACTATAGTCTAGTAGCTAGGGCTTTCTCCTCTACTGAGGAAGATCTGAGTCCAAATCCCTTCTCTACATCTGGCAGATGGCAAAGTTGAATCCGCATCTCCATCATCCAAGGTGAATGCACTAACCTGTAGGCTAAAGCGCATAGGTGTAGGGCTTTTGTTTTGTTTTTTTTGGAGGGGGGGGGGTAAATTTGTACAGGTTTATTTTTAACAGTTTTTGCATTTTCTGTAGCTGTCCAAAAAATGGGGAATTGGAGATTTCTACTTGGACTAATTAAAGCATAACATGTTAATGCACTTTAGAAATCACACCCCCACGGTCTGCCTTACTGCTTAGTGTAGACAAGCCTGTAGGAACAATTAACTAATCCTGATGTTTTTTTGGTGTATTATTTAACCAAACACCTTTTTGTTTGTTTTTGGTTGTAGCAGAGATGTGTTCTATCCATGTTTGTCAATGAAAAACAAAAATCAAAAGCCTTTTTTATAAGAGAGGAAACCCACCATCTCTACCTCTTCTGGCTTTTTTGTGAATCTTTTTACTACTTTTGTCAAAATGCATGAAATGAAAATGGCATTTTTTAGGTAGAAACAACATTTTGATTTGACATTACTGAGACATTTAGACTTTTTTAACTTAGCTGAAAGCATTTGACAAGTGTGACACACATTCATTAATAGTTTGTTAACCTGAAACTGTATTTTTCCACAAATAAACTATTTATTCTGAAAAATTTCTCCTAGCTATAATTAGACCTTGTGCTCCTTCTGACTTATTGCCTTCTTTCGGAGGGAGCTATTTCAAATTTCAGTTTTTGTTATTCTGAGTAGTAGACAGAAGAATGCATATAACTGAAATGTTCATAAGTGGGTTTTTATCTGCATCATATCTTAATATTTATCTAGAACCTAAATCTCTAAAGGTTTGCACATATTGTTTGACACTTCTTTAGGCCTCTAAAAGATTGATTTGGTGTTCTGACTCACTCAACAGTACCGTGCTGGGGCACTTGTTTTTTTGCAACTACAGTTTTTTCAGCGTGGAGAGAAGGGATTATACATATGGTATTTAAAATGTCTAATGAATAATTGAAAAGAATCCGTCTAATGCAGTGATGTAAACAGCGGTCATTAACAGCACTTCACCCATGTTTTCTTCAAACATCTTGAGTCAACCCAACTCTGAGTTCTAGTAGTTGTAGTTGCCAACATGGAAAACTTTCTCCACATCTTCATATTATCTCTTAGCATTTGTGCATTTTTACCTCAAACAGATTTTCAATATTCTGTCTACTTTTTCTCCTGAAGCTAGGAAAATTGTGAGGTTTTTTTTTTTTTAATGAAAACATTACTTAGGACTTTGCACCAACTTTCAGGGGAGAGAAATTCATTGTATGATTAAAGAAAAATGAACCAATTCAATAATAAGTTTAACTTTTCTCCCTGAGGTTTTTTTTTTTCATTCTTAGGTCAATTAGTATAAACAAATCAGTTAGGATTCAGCCTGTGCACAGAAGCACGGAAATAATCTGTATTTGATTTACAAGCCCAGCTGCATGTATAGCAGCCTTTAGCAGGTGACATATTTTTAATTTCTTTATTGGAATACTGTGTAATGTGCAGCTACAGCTAATTATGAATTACATGAATGCAGAAATTGTTTTAGAATTTTTGTAACATTATCACCAAAATGGGTTCTCAAATAACACAGTATGTCATTGGCCACTGTATTAAATAAGATGTGTAATGCCATTTACTGAAATGGGATTAAAAGTCTGTCGGTGTAAAAATGCAAAGCAACAGTATTCATCTGCTCAGTGATTATTAGTTTGGTCCAGTAGTCTCTCTTAAATGTAACCCATGGTAGAGTGAAAAATGTGCAAGAAAAAGACACTTCTCTCTTTTATTCTGTAGATTTTCTCTGGACTTGTAGCCTTGAGAAAAATATGCAACCACCCTGACCTCTTTTCTGGTGGTCCCAAGCTTTTGAAAGGTGTGCCAGATGATGAGTTAGAAGAAGCAGATAATTTTGGATACTGGAAACGTTCTGGAAAAATGATAGTGGTAGAGTCCTTGCTGAAAATATGGCACAAGCAAGGTCACAGAGTGCTGCTATTTACCCAGTCGAGACAGGTAAGAACATCTAACCAACATTTTACAGTTCTGTATTAACTGCAGTTCAAAAAACCAAACCTCCATCAGATTAGAGGTGTGTGGGTGTGATCTAAAAAGACATCTCTAGAAACTAAGTTATTTGGATGATTAGAATAACAAAATTCCAGTTATCCTGAAAAGTGGGAAATTCCTTTGTTTCTTAGATGTTCAGTAAAGGGAAGACAAATTTCAATACATTTCAACTCCATAAGTTTTATTAGCATGCTATGGTATTCTCGTATTGCCCAAGTGAAATATATGGACCCAAATATTGCTATCAGTTAAGACATATAAAGAGGCCCTTTGGAAACCAGTGGAGTAATTCTAGATTTACATTGGGGTGTAACTGGGAGTGGAATTTGGCACAGTAGCACAGTACAGATAACTGTTTATGATAGGGCTTCACGGTGCCCTGTACAATGAGTCTATTTCTGATTCAGTGACTGATTCCTGGCCATGACTTTAATTCTCTCAGAATTGTCTTGAGTTTTTTGGCTGTTCGAGGGGCATTCTTACTGTTTGAAAGTTTGACGCGGTATCTTTCTTGTACTTCATATTTTAGTCAAACGAGTAAATGAAAATTTCAGCTTCCAGTTCTCCTACCACTTTTTTTAAAGGTTTTTCTTTGCATACAGTGCCAAGCTATTTTTATGAGATCACAACTTTGATAAAGGTAATTGTATTGACCTAATATACTTTGACTTCTGTAAGGGGTTTGACTTGCTACCGCATGACAGTTTCATAAAAAGCTAGAACGGTATACAATTACCATGGAACTCATACAATGGAGTAAAAACTGACCGATCGGTCTCAAAATGTAACTGTAAATGAGGGATTCTCATTGAACAGTGTTTCCAGGGGAGACCTTTAGGGCAGTGTGTCTCAACTGCTCCATGGCCACATGTAGCCAGCCGCCAGGGGCTCTTCTTGCAACCACAGCCTCCTGGCAGTGATTGGGGAGAGGAGGGAAAAGCAGTTGCTTCTCCCCTAAAGCCATCAGCTGTGGCTGGGCCTTGACTCTTTCTGGAAACACAGAAGCTGGAGGGAGCAGGCAGTCAGTAAGTTCATCATCTTGCTGGCTCTGGCTTCAAACTCACCAACCAGGCTACCACCATCCATCCAACCATGGTGCCCAAGCTACGTTCCCTGGCCCTGAGGTAGAGGGCTCTGGCTTCAAGCTCACCAACCAGGCTACCACCATCCATCACCCCGGCCTTGAGCTGCCTCTGCACGCACTTCCCTATATAGACTTAATTGCTTAATTTGTCTCTGGGCTTATTGCAGCTGAGTAAGTCTGCTGTGAAAAGTGATATTTGTCTGTTTGTTAATACCACTTTTCACAGCAAACTCAGTATCAGCATGTCTTTAATAAAAATTTTTAAAAAAGCAACCCCAAAAGAAACACAAAGGGAAAAAAAGACAACATGCCAAGCACCCAGCATGTCTTTAATAACAAATTTAAAAAAAGCAACCCCAAAAGGAACACAAAGGGAAAAAAAGACAACATGCCAAGCACCTTATTTGTGTTTCTGTTTTGTTTAAGTCCAGTAAGGAATGGAGATAACTGAACATTATTTTTATTATTGAATCTGGGGGAAAAACCTACATAAATAACTTACGGTGATTCAGATGTGTGTATGCGCATATTTTAAAAAATTGGAGAGTGTTAAATAATGGAGAGGACAGGTGATTCTGTGGCCAAAAGAGCTATTGTGTTCGTGGTGTGTACAAATGGGCATCTTGAGAAGGAGCAGAGAGGTTATTTTTCCTCTAATACTGTCTCCTGCTCTGGTATCCACCGTTCAAGAAGGATGTTGATAAATTGGAGAACATACTTAATAATGGACTCTTCAGTCTATTAGGGAAAGGTCTAATATGGCTGGAAGTTGAAGATGGACGAATTGAGACTGGAAATAAGGCACACATTTATAACAGAGTAATTACCCATTGGAACAATTTACCAAGGGTCACAGTGGATTCTCCATCACTACCAGTTTTTAAATCAAAATCAGATGTGTATTTTCTAAAAGAGCTGCCCTAGGTATTTTGGAGAATTTCTGGGGCCTGTGCTCAGGACAGAGAGGTCAAAGAAAATGTTAATAGTCCCTTCTGATCTTGGAATCTATGAATCTTATGAATCCTCAGGAACAAAGAATGATTATAAATTGCCTTGTCTAGATGCATTGTTCTGACCTGCATGTTTTTCTGATTTTTCTTGTCCTGTTCTCCATACGGAATGTTCCAAAGCAACAAGCTACTGTCCTGCTTCTTATTGGGGTGGTGTGATGTTAGCTTCTCTCCTCCAGTGTCTCTGTAAATGTAATGGTGTGTCCATTTGGGGTGTACGTTACTGTGGATGTGAAAGTATAGCTGAAAATAAAATAAAAATTCTAGCCTTGACTTTTGATGATGATGATTACTCTGCTACTCTTGTACTTTCCAAAAACTGGGTTCCTTAAGAGCAAGGAGTAATGTTTGAATTGTAAAAGATATTAAAGCACGTACAACAGGACTGTTTCTGTGGCATGTGTAACTGGTTCAGCCATGTACCATATATTTCACTGCCTTCTGGAGTATGGAGGTGACAAAGGAAGTGTTCAGAGCACCCAGATGACCAGCAGTTTGTTCAAGGGAGGTGGGGCGTTGAGCATCTCCTCTCCTGGACCAAAAAATCCCTTGTAATCCTCTCAATATGATATGGCCAGCTAGGGGAGAACCATTCTCTGGCTTGCTTCCCCTACAGAAGAGCAGAAATAGGCTAAAATTGGGGAATAATGATGATAAGTCAATATTGATGTTTTCTGTCCTTCATTACATGGCTGCCTGGCATCTTTCGTAACCAATGTGGAGCGTCTACTGCCAGCACATGTGCACGCAGCGCCCACACAAAGCTGTTCCACCTTGTAGGCTCAAAGGGCCTACATGGAACCCCTTCCCTTTCCTGGTCACAAGTTCATGACTTCGCTTTGCCTCTGTGGGATCTTAGGAGAGTTCCACATCCCAGCCTGATTATCTGTCTTTTGAGGTCCTGCTCCTCGGTCTGCTCTATCAGGGAAAATACCTCATGTGTTTCATTATTTTTCTGGTCTTTAGCCTTCATAAGTCCACCCACCTATTCACCCAGGAGAGCATGATCTATCCCTTTCATTGCAAATTAATATCAGAAATAGCTTTACCTTGATCATATAGTCAGTTGATCTTCATACCTGGGTTTCATTCACATCTTTTCTATCATAATAGATGCTGAGGATCCTTGAAGTATTTCTGAGAGACCGAAACTATTCCTACCTTAAGATGGATGGTACCACAACAATTGCATCCAGACAGCCACTCATAATGAGTTACAATCAGGTGAGAATTTCAACATCTCCATATGTTCCTGTCGATGATTGATACTTGATCTCATTTCAGAGTTGAGGAGTTTAAGCATTCACTCTGGTCTATTTAAAAATTGGTCCCAGAAACGATTGATTCAGAACTGCTTGTCTTAGTGTGAAGATGGAAAAAATCACCATTTTCCCCAAATTGAACTTCGGCACTCTCTTAAAACAAAGCTCCAGCCAGAACAAGAAAGAGAGCTTCATTGTAAAAGAAAGCACAAATCAAGTTTAGACCGTTTAAAGTGTGATTATGGTCAGAAAAGTGATTGAGGAAACAGTGCTGTGTACTCCAAGTATCCGCTTCCTCTGCAGTACATCTTTGTCATTTCTGCTGACTTACCTAACAAAATCAAGCTTTTATACTTGTTAGCCTAGCAGGGTCCATACAGCTATAGAAGGTCAAGCTGGATTTTAGTCTCATTCATTGCCAGCAGAAAGGGCAGTGATAGTCTGACTGTAGAACCACTGTTTCTTGGGAAGACGAGGCAGAGAATACACAGCTCAATCTTAAGATCCCAGGAGTTTGTAACACTAACATATGTCATTCTCCGCTGAGGCAACTGCTGCTGTTATTAAGAAGGAGAATGCTTGCAAGAGATCAGCTTCTAGATGAAGAACAGCTGGCTCAAAGTCAGCTCAGGCGATAATGAAGTGATACTGGTTGGAAGTAGGGATGTTAAAATGCATGTAATTAACTGTGTAAACGCTGAAAATTGTAAGCTAGTTCCCCGGGCACAATGGCTCCCACCTACCACCCGGCTCCTGGGGGCTGGCTGCTGCCCCGTGCTACTGCCTCTGATATAGAGACAGCAGCGTGAGGTGGCAGATGGCTCCACGGGTGCCAAACCAGGAGCTGTCTGTAGCTGGTTGGGGACAGCAACGTGAGGTGGCAGATGGCTCCTCGGGTGCAAGACCAGGAGCTGTCTGTAGCTGGTTGGGTAACTGATTAGCTCATGCTTATTGGTTACCCATTTAAATACTACACTCTTACATCCCTAGTTGGAGGGAGGAAATGTTTCAAGAGCTAACCGTAGCACTGCTCCTCTGCATTCCACTAAAGGTGTATAGCCCCATTTGGTGAGTGAAAGGAAACCTCCATGTTTAGTTTGACTCTTGACAAGGGCACGTCTACACTTTTGGGGGTGTGATTCCCCGCTTGAGTTATACTTCCCCTGGCTCGGTGAGAGCTAGCACACTAAAAATAGAATATAGCCACAGCAGCACAAGCAGTAGGAGGGACTAGCCGCCCTGAGTATGTATGTAGTGGACAACGGGTATATACTCGCTCCGACTGTGACCATCTGTAGTAAACATTTGCAAAACCCTCCTTTCCTTAAAAATAGCCTGCCATAGCAAGAATGGCACTTTTAACACTGAAACCCCCTTCCCCCGCAAAAAATGAATTAGAAGACCTGAAACCAACCAACAACAAAGCCAAGCAGAGACTGAGATTTTTAACCTTAAAAAGGGAAAAGTCCACCAAAGGCTTCATTTTACGTAGAAGGTACTCAGAGACAATGGTGATGCATGATGTTATAACACCCCCAGACAGATAGGTAACCATCTGAAAAAATAATTTGATTGTAAACTGGATCCAGAAGAGATGAAGAGGGAATACATTCTGCGTCCATAGCACCTGTCATTTAGGAACACAGCAGTTGCCAGACCGGATCAGTTTCATGAGCAGTCTCATCCAATATCCTGTCTCCAGTAGCGACCAGCACCAGCCACTTCTGAGGAAGGTGCAAAAAACCCTGTGGTGGGAAATAATGGAAACCCTTGTCTGTTGTGATTGCCTTCTGGGTCTCTGGTTTATTAATGGTGATTTGCACCTCTACAGTGTGTATTAAAACTAAATTAACCCCCTTTTCTTTACACAAAAAAGTGCATACTGCATGCAAGAAAACTAATGTGACAAGAACATGGCTGTACTTCAGACATTCTAGTTTGGGGTGTTTGTTAAATTTTCTCTTGTGTTGCATGTATTACAGGATACCTCCATCTTTGTTTTTCTTCTTACAACCCGAGTAGGTGGTATTGGTGTCAACCTGACAGGTGCTGACAGAGTTATTATCTATGATCCTGACTGGAATCCCAGTACAGACACACAGGTAGGTTTGGCTCAGCTAGGTTTAAAATAAAAATAAGTATTGAAAGAGGTAATCTGTTTGTTACTTTAAATAATTAGTGAGAGATCAGTTGCTTCTATTTCAGTGTTGCAGGTATTTGAGAGTGTTTGGTGCTCTTTTCTTTAGCTTTCACACTCTCATATGGCAGGAGAAACTGTCCCTTTTTCCCCTCAAGAGGTAAACTGCGGTTCCTAAGTAGAACACCTTAGCAGTGTCTTTAATAAGCAAAATGGATGAATGATAAATGTTCAAAACACTATCAACTGCTATCTGAATCTCTAGCTGGGATTCGTCTCTCAAGACATGTCTTCACTCCGTGGAAGATCAAGGCTACTGCCATCGATCTTCCGGAGTTCGATTTAGCAAGTCAAGATAAGACTCGCTAAATTGAACTTAGAGGGTGCTTCTGCCAGCAGCCAGTACTCCCACTCTTTCAAGGTGTAAGGAAAGCCGATGAGAGCATTTGCTCTCGTCAGTCTCCTACTGTGGGGACGCTGCCCTGCTCGGCTTACAGTAAACTGACTCCAGCTACGTTTTCTACGTAGCTGACATTGTGTACCTTAAGCCAAACTGCTGGGTCTGCTGTAGACTTGGCATTAGTGCAAGTTTTTGTTATACCATATACATCTGACAAAGTTCTCTTATCTAATGTTATGCAATAGGACTTTGGAAAGTTCAGGGACGATAGCATTGTTTTAAAGGTAAACTCTATATGTTTAATTAATTTGAACATGTTTTTTGGCCAAATATTAAAGTAGCCTACACATCCAAAAACTACTTTGAAATTCTTCTGCTTTCTCGTGTGTTCAGATGGGAGCTGAATTCCCTAAACTCATAATTAAAAGCATCCATGTCAATATGGTTGTTTTCTATTTGATTGTAAATTAAGCCATGTATAAAGCCATTAGATGCTGAGAT